CCCACGGCCCTGGGCAAGGGGCAGCCGGAGCGGGGCGGGCGGCATCCTGCGCCCGGTGGGGGGGCGCCGAGCGGCGTGGGGCCCGTGGTCCCGCAGCACTGAGGGTGCCGGAAAGGTGAGGGCTGGGCCGGGCGGCGCGGGGGCGTGGCGGTGGCGGGTAACGGTGGGTCGCGTCCCTCACCGAGCCCGGCTCGTCCTTCCCTGGGGAGCCGGGCTGGGAGCCACGGGGACGAGGCGCGTAGGTCTCCCCCTGAGCTCGGCTTGGTGTAGATAGCAGGACTCCAGCGCAAAAGGACAGTGACACCAGGGAAAGGAAGGGAAGGTGGGTGGGAGTCTTCTATCCGAAGACAGAAACGCGTTGTACGGTTTCCAGAGGCTTTCAGGACTCTCAGTTCTGGTGTCCCCGGCCTGGGTAGCCATCGGAAGAATTGTCTAGAACGTGAATGTGGCAACTACAAAGCAACCTGTAATCCTTTTGGGGAGGGTTCTGTATCAATTTAAGGTAAACGTCCCGGAAAATTTACTATATGGGCACATCCTAAGCCTTTGTAGTACTTGCTAGAATGGGTTGTAGACAATCTTCTCGTAATAACTTGGAGATCTTACTGGAAGGAACAAAAATCAGAAATTTTTGTGTTAAGCAACGATCCTGGTGCAATGGGAACTTTCATGGAGCACCAGGTGAATTTGTAAAAATGGTCCTGTTGCAGCACCAAAACTTGTTTCATTGGGTTTTCTATATTCTGAGGTTTTTAGGTGATAATGTCCCTTAAGCAGAGCAAGCGTTCAGTTAGGGCACTAATTCTAGCGCGGGTTGTGTTTGATGATCAGGCACAGATCAGCCTCAGTAAGAAATGAAATTGTCTTGCCAAGGAGATGAGTCTGGAAATAGTTTGGGTGCTGTGTTATTTTACCAAACTATTCTGGCTTTTGTTCCTGCTTTTGAATAATTTAAGTACCCTCTGAATCCTCAGAATACAACATAACTATCAAAATACTGTAACTTTCTTAAAACGTGCTTTTGCTCTTCTGTGGGAGTTGCTCTTCAGACATTTCTCCATTCTTCAAAGCCAGGATAATTTTCAAGGGCGGATGACGGAACCAGCTAGCCTTTCTGCAGGTGCAGAACCAACACAGAAAAAAGAGAGTGTTGCCACCGTACGTTTGATGCAGCATGAAAAGGAAGTTGGTGTTCCTTCTAATGAACTTGGTTCAGCAAACGCAGCTGCTGACCAGAAAGAGCAATCTATGTCAGAAATAAGAAGAGGCTGCATGTACAGAAGTCCTGGAAGACCTGAGAAGACAGATGTGATTAAATCACTGGTGACAGATCAGGATGCATTTAGAAACTGTGAACTCTATCAGCCTATGTCTACTAATTGTTCAGCAATGGAATCATCTGAGGAGAGGTGAGGATTTTTAAAAAAATATGTATTAACAGCTTTTCTGTGGAAAGGGAGGAGTACTTTCAGTCTGTGAAAGTGAATTTCTTGGTAAAATTTCATGTATGTTAGTGTCTTAGTGAAGTAGATCTACATGTCAAATCTTACACTTTGATGGCCACATTCGCCCATTAGATAAATCACTTATTTTTATAGTTCATTAGTGGTTGTCTTTCCCCATCTAAGGGAGTAACTGATGTGGTATGAAGCTCTTAAGGGTAGCATGCAGAGAATGGGAAAATAAGAATTGAAGGCAGATACTCTGGTAGCTTAGTTTTAACCTTGTGAACGCTTTTTTAGGTGCAGTGATGACAATCACATCGGGCTTTTCTAAATTCTAACACTTCAGCTTTGTGTGTTCTTGTCTTTTTGTAAACCTCCTCCTATAGGATGAAGTAAAAATTTAGTTATGTGATTCAGACCTGACAGTAGAAGTCTTCCTAAGAATATTTGGTACCTGGAGGAAAAAATAAATATGAAGGTTTAAAAAAAGTTATTCCAAACTCTGAAAACAATATTAATGCATGTTAAGAATGACTTTGTCATTGAAGAATACATTTATAAAATAGGAAAAGTGATTCTTACCTAATGCTCTTTCTATAGGTAGTCAGTGGATTACTTAAGACAACATCCAAAATTACAATAAGTCTGACTTAGTGAAAATAGAACTAAAAATAAGTGTGTATTTTCAAGGATGCTTTAAAAATATAATTTCATGCTTAAATTACAGAGTAATATGTTAATGGGAGTTCTTTTAATATTAACACACGGATTCATATAAATTTGTGTTAAGTGTATGTCATATGTTGGCAAAAATGTGGTACGTAAGAATAGCTATCCTTCTGAACTTTTAAATTAGCTGCTATTTGGCATACTAATGCTATTTGAACTAATATGCTTTACATAAGTATTAATAGTGATGAGTTTAATCTGACATTAAAAAAATAAATATTCACCCTTGTTTGATGGAAAGCAGACTTTAAGCATTGTTTTTGTTTTCCTATGGCATCTTCAATACTGGGAGTTCTAGTCCTGCAAATCTATTAGTATAAAACTATTTATATTTTGCCCATAGTCTTTTCCCTTCTCTCCAGCTTAATTTTGCTTGTTGTCTTCTGATTTTTTTGGAGTTTAGGTTTTTTTTGGTGATGTGGATGCTTTTTTGTTGTTTGTTTTTCAAAACGCAAAGCCCAGGATACTTTAAGTAAAATCTAGCATTCTGATTTTTTTCCCTTGGTATCTTTAGTTCAGCAGGATCTGATTTAGTAGTTCAACAATTTCAGTGTTTACACACAACACTATTCACTATCTTTTTTTCTGTTGTGCATGTATGTTTCATTTCATTATTCTTTTTCATCTGTTATTTCATTTTCACTCTATCATTAGGTATTGTGAAGATAAGTAAGGAAAGGCTTTGGTTTCTTTGGAATTGTGGACATTCTTGTTTCCACAGATTTGCTTAGCAATTGCTATGCTAGAACAATGTTAAGGTGCACTTTCCACTCTGAAGTGAGAGTGCCTGTGCAGAGGGATTATGCCCCTTAGCTACATTGATTTCAAAACAACTCAGTTAAATTGCAGTACTTTGTTTATGCCGAATGTTAATCTGTCAGGTTCTGAATCTAGAGGGTTCTATGTTGTCAACTCCCAGAAAGAAGATGGGGCAATATCCGCAGAAGAAACATGATGCTGCTTACTCTACACCAAACTTCTTTTTTGAATTACTTCAGTAGTTTTCCAAGTTGAGCACTTTTTGTGCATTATAACCTAAACGTATTCCAGGAGGTATCCCAAAGTAGTGCTTCCCCCTGCCCCACCACTTCCCATGAGAGCTCTTGTAGAAGCAGGTTTGTTCATGCTCAGTGGGGAAGGTTATATTTTAAATACTTAGCCTATGCATAAGCTGGTCTAGAGATCACTGCTGTCAAATACCAAGTTGTTTGGGTTTTTTTCATAGTATTTTGAAGCTTAAGTATTCTTGAAATTCTTCACAAACCTTAATGGACCTTAATCTCTGCTGAGAAGCAAGGTTATGGATAGAAATTAGGGTTTGTCCATTGCCACACTGTAACAAGGATAAAGACTTGCGATACATATTTCTGTGATTTTTCTTCTCAGCAGGTAGCACTCTTTTTTTATGGAGTACTGTATTTAATATCTACTGCACCTATTGTTTCTCTTATTAATTAATAATTATGTAATATTGTTAAGAATAGGGTTTCAAGCAGCTACTTGAACACTCAGGAAGCCTGGTTTCAAAGTTAAAAGTTTGAAACTTGAGTAAAAACTAAACTATAGTTTCCTATGACTGTACAGTAGATGACAGTTTCCTGGTATTAGCTGTCTTTGTCTTTGTACTACAGATTTTTTTTGTTCTCAAGGGAAATGCATGCAAATGATTTAGAAACCTTACCTTTTTAAGTAAGCTGGTTTGGATATAAAGAAAAAGAGAGTGCCATGATTTACCACTGTATCCTTTCAGGTTAAATGAGCATAATCTAATTACCAGCTGGCTACATTAACCCTTTTTTGCAGTCTTCCTAACTGCTTGTACTCTCTTAGTAGTGCAAGATGGGGCAGGGTCATTGCATTAATTTCTTCCTGGTCTCTTGCAAGCACACTAGTTTGAGGTTTTTTGAGTAGTAGATTAGAAGCTACTAATAATAGTGGGCAATGAATAATACCTAGGGTTTTTTTCTGCATGTGTACTTTCTTGAAAATGCAAACTTTCAATGTAATCTTCTTTTAGTGATAAATCTAAATGATTTACTACTATGTGTGGTGGTGTATGATTTTTTTGGAAGTATTTTAGATGTGAAACTGTGATGTTTTTAAATTTTATTTGCTAGATGCAATTATATGACAAATGCTACTCAGAATCACGTTTAAAGGAATGTGCAGTTTATTGTCTGTTTTTTGAACACTGTGTAGACCTCCATTCTCAACAGTAATGTTCACAGCCTAGCTTCAAAAGCTATTCTTGATAATGCTAGGTTATGCATATGAACAATCCTTTTTGGCCATCATTTCCTTCCTCATGGTCATGGCTTGGCTGCAGAATGCCTGTATGTAGGCTTAAATGGAGACATTTGACTCTTAAGACTGTACCTTGACCTAAAAGTCCATATTATTCAAAGAAGTGTTTGTCTGCATTTCAGTTAGCCTGTAGGCTGCAGTTTAAATCACACTTAGAATTTTGTTTTCTTTGAGTTCATAGCATTCAAGGCAGTTGCAGATAGCTGGCTACTCTTCATCGTGATATTCTGTCACGTATTCTGCTCATTACTAGGCAGGTTGCTCAGCCCAAGAGGAGCCTAGATACAAATCACCAGTGAGTAACACAGTCTCAGTTGCAGGCATAGGTTGTATTATTAATGTACTCAGCACATAGGCATTTTGGCTTGTATCTTTTGCAAATTTATCCTCTATAATTTATAAATACAAAGGGACGTTAGTACTCTGTAGTCTCTACAACCAGCAAAAGAGAAATTCAGGCAGTGATTCATTACCAATGTATGTATCATAAATAAGGGAGGTGAACAGTTGAGTTTTTAAAATGTTTTTGGTAACTCTTGTTGTTTTTATGGAAATGTATAAGATAGAAAGCTGATCAAGTTGAACTTTTAATTGGAGAAAGACTTAGGTACTTGCCTGAAGTTGTAAACAGGGGAGAAGGTAAAATGACTGTAAGATTTGTGCTGTTACATGAAGTATGTGTTGATTTTTATTGCAGTGAGGAGGACATGTATCGTGATGCAGAAGAAATAGAGAGAGAGAAAATATTACTTTGTGAGACAAGCTCTTCAGGTACATTCGAACTTTGTGTGGTGTTTCCAATACAGTATTGCAATTCATCATACTAATTTGTCATGATTTGGCACCCTTGTTTCCAAGGATTTTTGTGCACGGATGTTTCTGTGTGCAATAGAAGTTACTTAGCATGACCAAGTACCATTGTACAGTTTAATTCACAAAAAGATCTATTTTTGTCTAAAACTAGTTGCTCTTAGTATATTTTTTCCTGTGTTTCTATAGTTACTTTACAGCAGAATGTGAATCCTTTGGAAAGCAGTCATGTAGCCTATGTTATGAGTGATGTACTTGAAAATTGCTGATTTATAGCCATTTCAGCAGCATCTGTTGCTGGGATCCCTTGATAACCTTAGTGCTGTCTATTTTGAAATGAAGGCTCTTGGAATTATTAGAGAAAACTATTTCTTCTTTCTACTATTTTTTCTGCTTTATTGAGAGAGATATGTCATCTTTCTCCTTTATAGTCTGGCTGCTGAAAGAAGAGAAGCTTTCATCAAATATTTTTTCTGCTTCCTAAGAAAATGAAGAGTACTTTACTAATTTCTGCTCTATGTCAATTAATATGTTGCAGAGTGTTCTCTGTTTTGGTGTACTACATCATTATTTTTGTTCACTTGTTACTTTGAGAGCAAGCTGCTTGTTTTTTTTCCCCTTCTGATACTAATAATTACTTAGTAGCTATTGGTTGTGCTGCCAGTCTCCTTTTGGCACAAATGTTATTTTAAAGTGATACAATGTATTTAGAAATTAAGTGCTTTGTCTCTGTTGTTCTGTTTCACTAATCTCAGTATAATGTTACATGTTCTGTTTTGACAGAACATAAACTAAGTGTTGCACCTGAAATGGACATCCTGGAGTACTGCAGAAAAGAATGGAGAGGAAATACACCAGTAGCAAAAAGGATGAGAAAGGTATTGGTTCTCTTTTTATTGAATTTTGTTGGGCTTTTTGTTTTTATTTGTTTAGTAGGTGACTTCCTATGGGAACAATCCTTAAACCAGGAAATACAATAGGAGTGTTTTACGGTGTCTGCTCTTGGAAGAGGCTGACAACAGGAAGATGGTTTTGTTTGTACTAATTCGATATGTGGTTTTTAGTAAGGCTACTTGTTGATAATTTAGGGTTTTGATTAATACTATTCTTTGTTAATGTTTTCAATGAAAGTTTTAAATTTGTTTTATTAGCATAAAATGGTAACTTTTTTGGCTATTAAAATAGCAGAGCAGATAACTAAATTTTTTTGCAGAAGGCAAATAACTAAAGTTGATGAATTTCATCGTTTTTAAGATGGTGAGCTTTAACAAATAGGCTCGGTTTTTCTTAAATTTTTCCTTAATTCTTACTTTTTGTGGGTTCTGGACTAGTTTTCTTACATTAATCTTGAGCAAGGGTGGTAGAAAATAAAGCATAAGGTTGGTTGGGGTTTTTTTTTTGTTTCTTGGATTTTTTTCTTTTGTATTTTTCAATGCAATTTGAAAATTTAGTGGTATGTGTAAATAAACCTAAAAAATACTTTCCGTAAGTCAAAAGATCCCTGTGTTGCCTTCAAGAGATTAGTATGAGAAATGCAGATGCTGGGGGCATTGGCTGTAGTTAGGGTAGCTGAAGAGACACGCTGAGCTTCAGAAGTTACATTTCAACGTTGCTGCTTCTGCTAAAAGTGTCTGTATGGGAACAGCTGGGAGGGGACAAACGTGCTCAGACATGTGTCAAGATATTTCAGTGTCAACACAAATTTTCCTTGAGGCAAAAACAAACTACATGTGACACGTATTGGGTAAATGGAATAAATTATTGCTGAAACTTCTTGTAACCATGATATATTTTTTTAGATTTAAAGTCTAGTGTATGTATGTTTGTATGTTTGGATATTTTTGTTGAAACTTAAGAAGATTAGCTATCCACATTTCAGTGATATTTTTCTACTGTCATTGAATAAATGCCACAACCAATTATCTACTTAGATTTCTTTGGTTTCGTGTTTGTGTTTCAGCACAACTAAGGGAGTTTTTTTCAAAGCATAATTTGTGAAAAAGCATTTGAAATTCCAAAAGGAGTAGTGGGTGACCCCCCCTTTTTTAAAATAGCATTAGCATTTTGATGCTAATATTCCAATATCTTTTATGACACCAGTGGATGACCTTAAAATGTTTTATTAATGCTTTCATGTTATTTGGATTTTGTGTTTTTTCTAGGGATATGAAGCAGTGGCTCAGAAGTTTGCATCTATAAGGAGAGTACGAGGTGATAACTATTGTGCTCTCAGAGCAACTCTTTTCCAGGCACTAAGCCAGGCTACTGAGTTACCAAGCTGGCTGCAGAGTGAGGATTTTACCATGGTATGTGTCAAACTCTGGTCTTCTGACAGTAGAGGAATGTTGGTTCTAGCCTGTTTGATAATTTTATGATCTCATTTCTCTGTTATGCTCAAAATGCTCACTTCTTAATATCCCTTCAATTGAGAAGTGGTAGTGGTCAGCTTTGTTGTACATTTACAGTGATTGTTTCAACTTGGAATTGAGTCCAGGTACCCTTAGTTTCCAGTTTATAATGTATAAATGTTATTATAGTGCTGACTGTAATGTAACTTATAGTAATGTAACTTATAGTCCCATAGTGTTTTAATTATGTACCCTGAAAAGAAAACACAGCCTGTGTGTTCTGGACTAAGTAGCTTGCACTCCACAGAGATTTCCAGATTGTCTGGTGACTGTCTTCACATCTTTAACTTTCTTTTCTGTTGGTTCAGGGACACTTTCAAACATGGTCACTGTCAGCTGGTGCTGGGAGGGTTTTTTTAAAATTAAAAAAAAAAAAGCCCTGAGTAACTTAAAGTGATTTATTTTTCCAGTGCATATGTATTGATTAGATATGGAAATAGTTACAGCCTAGTATTCTGGCAGTTATCCAGCAAGTATTATGAAGAGCCAGTTGTGTTCAATTATGGTCATCTTAGTATCACATATGTACAGAAGAACATGAGAGGGATTGTTTTTAAGGTGCAAAACCTTTGGGGGGGGAATCAGTAAAAAGATAACATGCGAGTTGGTGGCTTTTCCTTTCAAGATTTTTGACTTAATCTGCCTTCTCTCAACTTCCAGCTTTCTGAAAATCTGCTGAGCAAATATGAGTGGATCAATCATTGGCAGCTGAAAGAGAAACTGGGCAGGAAGATGGGAGATATAAGAGAGGAAATTAAGGATTATTTAATACTTCTAAGAAAAAAGGTTTGAAAAGTACTTGTTTATTCTTGGTCACTTGGAAATAAGGCAAATGACAAACGTTTTTGAATGTGGTGAATTCAGCATGAGGATGCTTTCACTAATGAAAAAAGTCACATTTCTGTATGTACAATGCAAAAAAAAAATCAAGGAAAGAATCAGATTTGTGGGAGTTTTCTGGTCTTCTACTGCATGCATTAGCCTCATGCTAGAGTTAGTTTCTAAGCTCTGCAGAAAACTATTAATTAGGTTTCAATGGAGAAGTAAATGTAACGAAGTAACATTTTGCCTCTGTTTCTTGTATTCATTGGAAGGAACGATGAATACCATGGATAAATGCTGCTGCTACCTTGAGCAGGTCATGGAAAGGAAAAAAAGTACAGAATAATGCTGAAGTAATTTCAAAGCAGTTGTTTTAGTTCCATGTTTATATGTTTTTATTCTGGGTAACGTAACAGGGAAATGGTTACGCTTGTTCAGTGTTTGGATTGTATTGCCTAGCCCCATCTTTCCACCCCTTGAAACACTGGAACTTATTTAAAAACTCTTCAGTTGTTCCTGTCTTACTGTGTATGCATATTCTCTTTTTTGAAGGCAGTTAAGTTTTTAAAGGCTGCATTCAAGCAGTTTCTTAGGGTGGGAATGAAATACATGTGCTGAGTAACTGAAATGTAAAGAGTATAAAGAATGTAGGATTTATGATACAATCAAGCAGGGTATTATCTTATTGCTTATTGTCCTATGACAACATTTGTTTTGCCACCTTGCAACAATTTCCAACATCCCCTTCTTTTGCTTTGCTTAAGGACTAATTTAAGCAAAATCTGACTAACTCGATCTTGATAGGACTACAGCTGTGGAAGTATTGTCAAGTGTTTTTAAAAAAGCACAAAGCCTTTCATAAATTAAATCCTGAGTGCCTGTGCTGTGTGTCTCACAATTTACAACTCATTTTTTGCAGGTCTTGCATGGTGATGGCTATTGAAACATGTTGTGTGTGTTGTTTGTTTGGTTTTTTTTTTGATAGTGGAAGAATATAAGTGAAATCAAGGGTCCTATTGAGAAACAAGAAGCTTGTGATAAATTGTTTACAAATGAAGAGGAGGAGTATAGTCTCTATGAAGCACTGAAGTTTTTGATGCTCAACACCGCCATTGAATTATACAATGATGATAAAAATGGAAGGAGAGTTCCTGTCTTCTCGTGGTTACTGTTTGCACGGGATACATCTAGCAACCCTTGTCAGTTAATGCATAATCACTTGAATCATATTGGTCACAGTGGAGGCCTTGAACAAGTAAGGAGAGATTGTTTTTACAGTGTTATTTTCCTGTTTTGGAGGTCTTAGTTTCAAGTGGTTTAAGAAGTCACCCAGCTTTTGCCTACTCTTTTATTGAGAAAAATATAGTAGAAATGCCTGTCTGTAGTAAGGATCTGTAAAGGCATTCCTTTAAATGTTGACTTTTGTGTGGCAACTGACACTTAGGTAGCATCAGTATTTGGAAATATGGTATTCTTCTAATACAGAGATATTTGTATTAATCTCTTAATCATTAGCTTGTATCATGATATTTTTATTAAAGAGGTAATACTCAGATCGTGTGTAGTACGTATACTGGTTGAATTCTGATAACCCAATGACAGTTACTGCCTTGTTTGTTGCAGAAATGATATGCCTATGACAAAAAGGCCCCAAAAGAAAATGTAGTGGTTAATGAGCTATATAAGTGGAAAAATTTCAGAACATTGATTTAAAAAAAAAAAATCCCATTGAATATGTTACAAGTGTGGTATTACAGTTAAATACACTACTTGATTATAGACACTAGAAACATGGAAGTATTTATGTTTTGCTTGTGTTTATTAGCTTAAAAGTTTGACAGCTAATATAGATGAGACGGTTGCTGGTACTGTTAAATTAGCTGATTGCTTGGCGACCTTTTTGCTGTCTAGTTTAGTCAACAAGTAATGTTGCATATTTTGTGACTAGATCTTTTTTATTTCAGTGCTATTCTTTTTAAATTGTTATTTAGAACAAGATCTGCTTGCCACAGTGGTAGACAAGACTTTCCAGCTTCTTTCTTTGGATTCCTTCTGATATCAGGAGGTTTTGTAAAGGCTTTCCATCTGTTTTTTATTTGGCTGGATGGAGAGTTCAGAGTATCCTCTAAGAGAGAAAGGATCAGTGCCTGGAATCCATTCTTGACTGGTTTAGTGATTTAATGGGATGAATACTGGTATGAGAGAATGTCTTTCCTACCTGTTTGTGGCAGTGGGGAAGTGGGATTCTCTGTATAAAGCAGCTTTTCTTTCGGACTGTTATCCTGCTCTACCATTGCTGGGTCAGAAGAATTCCATACTAAAGACATGGTATCTTAGAGGTATTTATGCAGCAAATTACAACTAACTTGAATGATTGAGATGCTGAATGAGAGATGCTCATGTATATGTATTCTCATTTACATTTCTTCATATTTTTTTCTTTGAAAAATTACATCTGATATGTATTGGTTTAGTATTTTCATGAGAAATATCTTGTAAAAGGTATGTTAATTTTTAAACATCATATTTCTGTTTTTTTTTTTTCCAATGTAGGTGGAAATGTTTCTTCTTGCTTATGCGCTGCAGTATACCATCCAAGTGTATCGATTATATAAATACAATACTGATGAATTCATCACCCTTTATCCCAATGACCCAGAGGAGGACTGGCCTGTGGTGACTCTCATAACTGAAGATGACAGACATTATAATATTCCAGTCAGAATGTGCCAAGAAACTGTGCTGTAAACAAGGGATTTCTTGCAGATGAACCTGTGCTGCTTATTGAGGTTTCCAGTGCTGTTTTGAAACAGGATGATGATGAAATCTGCTTTAATAAATCTACAACTTGAAATCCATGTTTTAGGAATTAACATCTGAACTAAGATGTCAAATGGGTACTAGCTTAAAGAGAAAAAATTTTTGCTAGTATGGCTTTCGTTGCTCATAAAAAAAGGAAACTTCTGCAGTCCTTGTTTTTGAAGGCCTTACTCTGAATAGAAATGCAAAAACTATAGATTTACTTCTTTTAAGAAGACAGGTGAGGCTCTGTAGTAAGACATGAGCTGACCTTCTGCTCCCTCAAATAATGAGGTAATGATGAATTGAAATTTCTGGAGAAGTAAGCTGGCAGCATCCTGACTGATACTTGTAATGCTGCTTAGAAGCAATTTGTACACATGCTTATGCTATGAGAAATGTTTTTTAAAGTTTTCCAGTGCTTTGGGGTTTTTCCAACATGAATATCTCTTACTCAGAGTCTGGTTGTCTCTGACACAGAAAATAAAGAGCTCTTCCCCTTTCAACCCTTTGGGAGGGTAATGGCAAAGAGAGCTCATAGTAAGGGAGTGGAGAAGTTGTTTATTAGTGGGTCACAAATTCAAAACCTCCTCAGAATTCCCTCCTCAGTTACGATATCTGGTATGAGATAACCACGTGCCCCCTAACTTCCATGTCTGCTCACGTTCCTGTTCCTGTAGTGTTAATTTTTGATGGCAGCTGCTGTGGAGAACATCAGGATTTTAATTTGTCCAGGGAGTGCAGTAGATGGAAGTAAACTTCTGGTGCAACTTCTCTGCTCTTGGGAGGAGTATCTGGAGGTTCTGTTTCTGCTTAGAATTATTCATTATGCTTTAAATTGGAGGAATACAGAATATATCAGATGCTGGGAATGCTGACATATCTTAACAAAATAAGTAAATAACAAAACCTTCACCATTAATATAAAAGTGAAAGTATGCCCTATAGATGATTCTTGGAACAAGAGAGTGAAAGTTAATTTAAATGAAATGCTGTTCATACACAGATCACTTGGCTTCCCTTGGAAGGCCTTCATGTATAAAAGGGATAAGATTCTCAAAGCTACTTTTCAGCTAAATATTCTGGAGGAAATGACCTGCAAAACTTCCAGTTCTGTCTTGTTCTACTTAAAATTGTTAACTTTTATTGTGAAAGGTTATTACACAATGAGAATGTGTATTCACAATATTCTAAAATGTGTTTTGGACGCATCTTAAGGACGTCTATCATGTCCTCGGTGTTACATTTATCGTGTTGTCTTTGCCTTTTAAAGCAACTACTTTGATCTGTTACTGAAAACTTCTGGGAGCTACAAGGGAATAAAAATAAACCAATTCATCTGGCAGAATTTTATTTTCTTGTTTTATGTCCTGTTTTGTCCCTAGCTTTATATTTTTGAGTTTTCAGTGTTGAAATCCTTGTTCGAGTTAGTTTTTTCTTGAAAGCTGCATGTATGTGAAACAGGTAATTATTGGCTTGCTGCTTCCACGTGGACAGCAAAAAAAATTTCCCTGAATTACCCGAGTAACACTGAAGGGGAAAGAAAAAAATTAATTTTTTTCAACTCACTGAACTCTGATAGAAAAATTGTAGCTATGATTTAAATAAATGAAATTATTTAAATCTTGATGTCTTCTAATTATGATATATTCTTGAGATTAAAACTTAACGCCTCTTTGTCATGCACTTGGAGCCACTGCTTTAAATGTGTGACAAAAGTTGGGGCTTTTTAAGGGCTGAGTTTGCAGCCGTTGTGTCTGTCAAGAATTCACATAATGGGCTTGTGTGTTGGACTGAGCACAGGGTACAGTGGGGTGCACCTTAATGTAGTGTTCCTGCAGACTGTGAGTGACAAACAGTAGAAAACCTGATGTTGCCTTGTGTTTTTCATCCCTGTTTTTGGAGATGAGCCTGTGTTGTGGTGGGCAGTATATTGATTTAACTTCAAATATAAAATTGATAGTTGACAATTTGTCATTTATACTTACACAGTGGACAAACACTGTTTTTCTGTTGTGTCCCCTCCCCCTGGAAACTTGTGTGTCAGCAGAATGGCAGACGTGGTCACAAATCCCATTTTTGGCGTTGCAGGAAGTGGGGAGATGGAGCTCTCGCGCTGTGTATCGAGAGCAGGGCTCGATTCCTGATCTCCTGCCCTTGGTATTTAATAGCGTTGGTTCTGCAGCCACTGCATCTTCTTGTCTTCTGCACGTGATTGCCATTGATTTCCCCAGCCCACTCAATAAACAGAAAGAGTCAATAAAATAAATGAAATGGATGTGAGGGATGGAAGAGGAATAAAGGTCAAATAAATTCTGCCTCCTGCCCTGATGTCTGCGAGTCCTATGAGTGAGTAAGTATATATCTGCTGTGCTTCCAAGGTATAAAGGAAGCAGATGCTTTACTCAACACCTGGCACGCTTTGCTAGGTACAGTCCAGATGTTTAGTGCTGTAACCTGTGAGCTCCTAGGAGTTAGCAGGCATGAAGAAAGTTCCCCCTGGCTGATGTACTTTGTGGTTTTTGTTCAAGAAATACTTCAGCTGCTTCAGGCCTGTCTTTTATCCCTGCATTAACTGTTGCGTCCAACTTCTGCCCTTTATGCTTTTTGGGGAAGGAGCTGTGTCTCCATTGTGTTCTCCAGAACCATTTCTCAGTGTACTTAGAGGTGTTAAATGGAAACATCCTGCTTTCTCTCACAGCGCTTTGACTTGGGCTACCTGATTCCTTTTTAAAAAGTATTTAAGTATGTATTTTTCACTAAACACAGTTCACAGTTGTGGTCTGTACAAAGCTTTTTTTTTGTTGTTGTTGTGTCTTTCTTTGGTCTCCTGGTAAGATGTTATAAAGTTAAGGGATGCTTATCCTCCAGCTTCCTTTCTGTTGGTGGAAGCATGCAGCAGAAGTTCTTTGTGTGAGGGAAAAGAGAGGTTCAGGTGATCTTGCTGGGCTGGGAGGAGGGGAAGAAGATGGGATTGTACCATGTGGGAATAGCTGGCTGTGGATGGAGGGATGTGCTGAGCTGGAGCTGCAGCAAAGCTTAGGCTGGGTATGGCCCCGAGAGGCTCGTGCTGGAACGGGCCTGGTGATGTCCTGTGGGAGCTCACCCCAGAACCCGTCTGCCCCAGGGAGCTGCAGGTGTGTTTGGCTCAGGACTGTAACTTTATTTGGATAGCCGAGTCATAGCTCAACCAAATCTTGGTCAAGTTTATTTTTGTGTGACAGCGACAGCCCTATCATCCAAAACTAGTGGAGGGTGAAGAGCAAGGTGGAAGCTTGTATCTCACCAGAATGGCAGACATGGCCGCAAATTCCCTTTGAGGTGTTAAAGGAAGTGGGGAGATAGAGCTCTTGTGTTGTGTATCTGCATCTTGTCTTCTGGACGTGATTGCCATTTGTTGCCCCAGTCCACTGGCTGGCAGGGTAAGACTAAGACTGTTTGAAGATGGCCAAGCATACTTTATGAATGCTCCCTTTTTTGGTAATTGTGGAAGACGACAGGCAGCACATTCCGGAAGCTCGCTGCTGGAGGGATAATCATGCTATGACGTTGACTAATGTGCTTCAAGCCAGACAGATTCAAAGAATGTTTCCATGTATAAATTTCTTGAGGAGAACTTCAACCTCTGAGAAATGGAAAGGAAATGGTATTAATTCAACAGAGTTAAAAGTGAAATAGGGAAGGTTTAGCATGGTAGAGGCCTCTCAAGAAATGTGGCTCTCCCAGTCTCTTTTCCCCAGAGCACTCATTTTCTGCATGACTGATGATGTGTGTGTGTGTTTTATTTCTGTCCTCAACTTCTATTCAAGCTGGTGGGATGCCAAAAACCCACCCTGGGATGTACTGGGCCATTGAACCACCAGTCAGTACTGACTACAAGTTGTTTTATGAGGGCTGTTGGGTGAGCGCTGTGGCGTGCTGAGGAAGCGGTGGCACATCGTCACCAGCTGCTTCTTCCAGAGGATTGTTTCCCCTTTTTAGGATTGTGGAGTTTGGGATTCATTTTTTTTAGACACCTGCCCACTAGCTTTTTGATGTGATGTATTTCCTTTGGGCTATGGCAGCAGACAGCTGCTGCAGGGCCCGTAGCAGGAGGCCTCTGCACATGCTCTTCAGCATCAAGCTTCCAGTCTGACAACCAAGACCAGTCAGCCCAACGATTCTTCATTTATTTTTGTTTTAATTAAAAAAAAATAGAAGCCTCACTTTATACAAACAATATTATCTTATAGTCTGAATGTGGGAGGTACAATTACTTTTTTTTTTCTTTCCCTCTTACTTTTCTAGAATCGGATAATTCTGCAAGTGTTTGTGGCTTGCCAGGATGGGACAGAATTTAGGTACTGCCCTTGTTCGATCTGTTGTGCCCCTACCCATCTTTTATTAAAAAAAAAAAAAAAAAAAAAAAAAAAAAAAAAAAAAAAAAAAAAAAAAAAAAAAAAAAAAAAAAGAGCTGCTATAATAATCACGAAACTAGTATCGTCCTTCTCAAACAGTCTTGCTGTGTTTCATAGACCATTCACTGTAAATACTGACTTTCTAGTCTGCAGGTTGTGTGTGTGTGTGCCGGCAGGTGTCACTGCAGGCCTGGGGGAGCACGGAGGGACAACTTGGTGGCACTTGGGGACTTTCCTTCCCAAGGCACAGCCAGGCGGTCTGACAACTTGTCACTTCACCTGGGTACCCCAGCGAACGCAACACGCATTTACGATACATAAATACCCTCCATACTCAGTATAATACAGTGTGACCAAAATGCTTTTCCTTCTGACGTGGTGATCTCAAAAGCTCATGGCTGAGCAGCATCACTTTACCTTTACAGACTTGTGTGAAGGGATGTATTAGTTAAACGTAATGGTGCATAGGTAGATGGAAGACATTTTTTAAATGTGTGGAACACTGTGAAATGATGTGGTAAGACTTGACATTTTTTATTTCTTTATTGTTTTACCTTTTTGAGTATCAATGTAGCTAGAGGATGAGGGGTAATGGTTTTAGATTGAAAGAGGGGAGATTTAGATTAGATACCAGGAAGAAATTCTTTACTGTGAGGGTGGTGAGACACTGGAACAGGTTGCCCAGGGAAGTTGTGGATGCCCCATCCCTGGAGGTGTTCAAGGCCAGGCTGGATGTGGCTTTGAGCAACCTGCTCTAGTGGGAGGTGTCCCTGCCCAGGGCAGGGGGGCTGGAACTCAATGATCTTTAAGGTCATTTCAAACTCTAACCGTTCTATGGTTCTGTGATTCTATGATCTGTTTATATGTTGAATAAGAATTTGCTAATAGGGGTTGAAATTTGTAGCGAGCCCTCTCTTTTATTTCTGAAGTATCTGGTTTTGTTTATGTATTGATCCAAACCTCCAGTTGATGCATTGACACATTTGAGTTTTCACAGCCAGACTAATTTCTGTAAGCATTAGAGGCTTAGCTGAGACATGCCGTGGGATTCTGAGCAGTGTTTCTGGGATAGCATACTCTCTTTACATAAACACAAGGCTATAAAGCATCAAGAATAATATATGTTGAGAAACAGTGAGGTTGGACCCTCAAATTGTCCAAGAGCACATCAAATAACTTTAAAAATGTATAAATCTGTTAGTTTCCAACCATATTTGCAGGTATGTAGGGCATGTTCTATTTTTTACTGACTTTATTACATAGGGCAAAAAAACAGTTCTAGCCATAGATCCATTATAAAGACTTAAAGCGCTTAGAAAACCAGAAAAAAACACGATAATAATCCTCCGTTACTGCCTATACTGTTGCCTCTGAATTGCTGAGATGACAAAAATTATTTCTAGCTAAGAGGAATGTATTCAGTGTAAAACACTGCATCCATAGATTAATGGATATAATTGTAACAGGCTGTACCTTTAGAGGTGGAGCACTTTCTGGACTGCTATGCTCTTCGTGTTTCTGAATGTTTTCTGCATCATAAGATTTATTTTTTTTTTTTTAGCATAAAATGTTAAAGGAAATAATAAATTATATTGAACAAGGAGGATGTACAATCTGCTGGTTTATGGGCCATGAGAAAGCAGCAGCTGTTTCACTCAAACTCTTTCTAGAGCCCTCTCCTTTGAGTGGATTTTTTTTTTTTTTTTAAAGTATTGTGTAACATTTTGGCCTTTGTTTTACAGCAAAAGATCTGGGTGTTTTGCTCAAAGAGTGGTTCTGTAGAGCTGAAAGTAACCGCTTGGGTGAGAGCTGGCTTCTTGCCACTTCTGTGGCAGATTCGTCTCCTCGTGCCAAAGCTAATCTGTGCCGGGGCATAACGAACTGCATCAAGAGAGCACTTGCATTTTGGAGGACTGCATTCCTTTCAGCAGGCCAGCAAGCAGGAGTTAGCAGCAGCTTCTATTCCCTCACTTGAGCCTGTCTTTTGACTTTCTATTGTTGAGGAGGGCAGAAGAACCAAGAATAAAATGTCTTCTTTGGGGTCATCGCTGAGCTGCTCAGCTAATAGGGTTGAAAAGAAAGGGGGAAGGGGAGTTTTTACAACTGAAAAAACAAGAAAACCCCCAAACTTCAGGGAGTTAACAGCTTATTTCCCTTGCATTAAATAGCCCTTGCAGAGTAGCAGGCTGTGCTATCTCCTGCAGCGTGTCTCCGACTCTCTTCTTCCATCCAAGCACCCTAAGAAAGTCCCCAGAGAACACCCAGCTGGAGCATCACTGGCCTCCTGCAGGTATCACCACGGGGGGCTGGCACATGGTGCTTCGGCACTAGCTTTTAGTATCTAATACTAATATTACGTTTAGACTATCAAGTGGTTCCATGGTGTTCATTTACTGATGAGCCCTCTGTAGAGCTCTCTTCACACTCAGACGTGCTGGGTTTGGTCTCATCAAACCATGCTACAAACAAAAAATTCTTTTAATTAACCAAACTAACTGTTGTAAAATATGTAAAAATAGCATTTTTAAAGGTAGTGGGTGGTTGGAAACATTATTTTTCAAAAAATAAGTTGGAGCAATGTTTAGGGCTGTTTAAAGCCAACCTGTGATGTTATCAGCAAGTGCCTGGTTTGTATGACACCCAGATGAAAAGTCCAGATGTTAGTACATCCCCCACCCCATGGACGCTCCGTTCTGACATGTCTGCCTTCCCACCGAGAGGATGGAAAACAGCAACAGAGATCTATGCTCATGGAAAATTCAAAGGAAATAATGGTGTGAAATTTCCTTTGCAGAACGAAGATAAAAGCTGCAGTTCTGAAGGATGTCCTGTTGCACCAGCGGCCTATGTTGTCATTAGGAGGGCTTGTCACTGAAACACCTCGTTCTTCAAAGAAATGCTGCACTGGATGGATGGTGTGTGAATTAATGACCTGCTTGTGGTAGGTGGGCTCAGCACGGAGGAGTCTGTTTTGGCTGTAGGTTTGTGAGCACTGGCTCTAGCTGCTGGGAAAATGCTCCTCTGCTCATGAGACACAGGAAGATGCTGCACCTTTTAAGTCACCTAGAGGAAGATGGCTCACTTTTTCACAGCTACAGAATGGTCTGTGTAGACAGTTAATTACTGCTTGGCTTTTTTCAGGGTATCCTCTTCCTCAGCAGCCACTCTTGGGCTTTGGTTTTCTTCCCTGCAGGTGTCTCTGCTGTGTGGCAGGGACAGTGAGAGCGTTCAGAAGTGCTGGTTCAGATGAGCCCAGCCAAAAGGTGACGGTGGTGCTTTTGGCCGCTTTGTGCTGTACTTCTGTTAGTTTCGGGATTCTTCGCCTGTTTGTGGTAATAAGCCCTTTTGTGCTCCTTAGTGCAGAGCAGATCTTCCCCCAGCAGCGCATACGCTGTAGACCCCCCTGCAGAGCCACGTTCTCCCACCCCTCCCTTCCTCACTGATTATTAGACTTGAAAGCAAATGCTGTGCAGCACCGCCTGCGAGCGGGAGGGCTTCTGTCTGTGGTTGAGGTCTCTCTTGTCTGAGGTCTGTGTGTGCCCTTTGGGGATTATATTGGATTGTATTTCAGTATACCCCATCGAGGGAAGAGCTAATTGTCCTCATTACTGAGGGAGGAACAGTCAGAGGAGGGTCTGCTGATGGGAGAGGAGGAGGGAGGGAGGGAGAGGAGACTTTCAAGACTGCAAGCAAAGAAAGTGAATTAATAATGCATCACACAGAATGTCTTACTTTTTACCTGCTTACGATCTGACCCCTTCTTGCTTAGGGAGAAAGAAAAGAGGCTGATGTAGTCCCTGAAAGAGAAAGCTTGGTTTGAGAAAGCCAAATTCGTCATATGTGACGCTGTCTATGCCTTTTGGCCGTGCTCAATCTGCTCGAAATCAAGCACGGTGGCAGGAACCCTCATACCTTGGCCTTCCGAGCTGTGGGGCTGCTGGCTCACCTGCCCCTGCCCCCCGAGCAGGTCAGTGGATCACCGGCAGGCACTTTTCTGAGTGCCTGTCTTTCTGAGTCCCTATCTTTTTCTGAGCCTTTCTTTTTTTTTTTCTTTTCTATTTTTTTCCTCACGGCCTCCTGGCAGGGCAGCGCCCCAGGCAGGGGGAGCTGGATGAGGTCAGGCCATGGGAAGGCCGCGGCAGGGCCTGGCAGTTAATGGGTGCGCCCCTGCGAGCAGCTGAGAGAACTACCCTTTGCTGATTTAGATGCCCTAATTGTGTTCTCGGCCTCACTCAGTGTTCCTGGTCTCGGGCAGGGATGTGAGCAGACATGAGAGGATCCCTTCTCCAGCCATGGGGACAGCCGTCGGTGGCTGGAGAGTGGGGAAGGAGGAGCTGGACATAGCCAGAGCTGCGGCTGGTTCGGGGGTCTCTGAGGGGCCCCTGCAGCCCCCCGTGACAAGGGCCAGGAGAAACAGAGCTGCTGTTCCCAGCCCTGTCACAGGGAGAGTAGGGCACTGCCCGCCGAGGCTGGAGGACCACTGACCCCTGCACTGCAGGGCAGAGGTGGCTGCAGATACCAGGGGGGTGAGAAGGTGGCTGGGAAGCCCCGGGGAGAGGAGACAGGACGAGGCAGGAAGGAACTGGAGGGCTGGGAAGTCGTGGGGGGACCAGGCCAGGCTTTAGGGTACAGGATGCTGGAGATTGCAGGCTGCCTAACACTGAAAATAGAAACCAGTATGTGAGGCGGTCACTTTGTGGGCTGGAGAAGCTGAACTTCTCTACCAAGTGCATCATCTGGATCTCTGCTCAAGTGTCACATCAGGAGAGCCATTTAAGGCTGTGGTCTTAGAGACAGCCTTCTTGCTGGCTCTGGGTGGCTCAGATTTGGTCATTTGGGAGTATCCAAGGGACACATTGCTTAAAACCAAACACTAAACATTTTTGGTTAAGGAATGTTTTCACAGCTTCCTAAGAACAGCTTTGGTGGCTTGCCAGATGGATGGATGGAGCATCTTCTCATGACATTTGAGTTTGCTCTGGCCTGAAGAGAATAATGTTCTCCTTTTAAGTGTCTCTTTAATAGGAATAGTAAAAGCTTTAGGTTCAGTGTGAAGTAAATATTCTGACCATGGTATTTCCATATCAGCACCACTTGGAGGTTTTGCAGAAATAGCGAGCTTGCCTTGCATGATTTTACAGATACCCTTGGATTTCATTAACTTCAAGTTAAGACTTTGTAGTTGGCAGCATCACATAATTCAAAAACAATTCGCTTGTTGGAATTATTTCTCTCCAGGAGGTATATTTTGCTTGTTCTAAATGAGAAGAGCACTTTAGACTGTGTCAGATTATCAGAATTAATAAAACAGAAGCAATCAGAATCATTAATCATATGCAAACTGTTAGAACTTTACTTAAAGTAATTAGAATATGAAAGCTATTGGACAATATTGGAGCACAGTTCCCCCCCCAAGAAAGCATAGATCATTCTTTTTAACAATGCAAAAACATACATCTCTGTTAAATACATAGACAGCACTCAATTTTAATGCAACACATAATTTCATACTTTTGACCTTAGCAGTCATTTAAAAATCTACAAAGTTTTTACCTTCATTGGTTTCTTTAGAGCTTAAAGAAAACCCACGTTTAAAGCAAAACAAAATGGTCATTAAAAAACAAACTGGTAGCTTTAGCACATGTACAAATTACAGAAAGCAACGTTTATTTTGAGAGAAATCAACTGGAATTCTACAAGTATGACAGAAAGTGATGCATGAGGTAACATTTCATTTAAGATCTAGGATCTCTGTACTGTAGTCCAAAACAGTGCTCTGGCTTGACACCTACAGTCCTTGCAAAATTGACTTGTTTAAGTAGTCGAGGATGGCTATTAGGCACACTGCTTTGCATAAAGACAGCTTTATCCTGAAGGAAAGAATGTGACTATGAAAAATATTCTGAAAGAAATTAAAAACAAGTGATCCCTCTCAGGCGAAATACGCATTTGCCTACTCAGATTTACCTTCAAATTACAGAAATGGACTGAAAAAATGGGGCTTTTTCTCTACAGAAAAGTGTTAGAGAATTGACCTTAATCCCAATGCAACCGCAGAAGGCCCTAAAGGGTGACCAGCTACTGCTCTTGCCTCTTCCTGTGTTGGAAGCCTGCTGAGAACAGAACGAAACGTTGTCCTGCAGAATACTCCATGGTCTGAGGGTCAGGTGGGGAAAAGATGAGCCCCTTGAGCATTCTTTCCCCTCCTTCCCAAGCAAGAGTCTTCAGGCTTTGTGCTGCCCTTTTTTAGGATGCTGCTACCAGACACTACTCCCCGCTCCCGATTTTAAAAGTATTTCCATGAAACTAAAAACAAGTCAATTTTAGAGAACCCAAAGGCACATTTAAAACATGCAAATATGAATTAATATTTTTAGGCATTTCTGTGGCGCTGTTCCCTGTAATATCCAAGCGTCTTTCACCAGCATTAGTGAATTTTATCCTTATAGCACCTCTCCGAGATGGGAGAACCTGCTAGCCTTGTAGTATTACTCTAGAAATGGCGCAGTCTGACCTCACACGACGTGGTCAAAGCTGTCTTGAACCTGTGGTCAGAAACTGCGTCTCCTTTGAGAGACTTTCTGGGGGTTACCTCTACACAATTTGGTTCTCCTCCACAATGATTTCCTGCTGAGAAGACAAAATAGTCTTCATCTTCCGCTCTGCCCTTTAGATTTTGCTCAACCTTTGTAGGTTCTTTCTAGAGTGACCTTGTGGCTGGCCCTGCTCAAGTACACAAAGATGGAGAGAGCAGGATATGTGAATGTTCTCCACTGCAAAAGGCATGGCAAAGTTTGCTGTCTCCTGTGCTCCTAGCACTATAAAACTGGGTTCTATCTCGTCACTAGTATCTACTGACACTGCCCAGTAACCTTTGAAGGTCAGTGAATGTTTCACTGAAGACGATAAATGAAGGGGTTATGGCTTGCTCTGCCCACCAGTATGGTCCTTGCAGGGTGATGCAGTGTGGGGCGCTCACAAAAGACACTGCAGCTCACTCATTTATGGCCAGCTCTCCCTGTCTCTCCCCACACACACACACACTCACTCCTCAGGCAGGCCCAGATTTCTGGCTGACACAGACGAAGCAAGGCTCTCTCCAAGCTTAGGAATGCTGCTAGGCTGGGCTGCCCAGGCACCACAAAACACACCTCACCCATGCCACCGCACAGAGCCGGGTCCTTCATCTCCAGTTTGGATTTGTGTGGCTGGTGGTAGTAACGTCCTCTGCCAGTGCCACAGAACAAATCCTACAAGCTGCACGGGGGGGGTTCCGATACTCCCAACTTCAAGTTCACCAGCAACAGGCAATGTCTTTTTTTTTTTTTTTTCTCCTCTTCCCAACAGCCAGCTCCGGGGAGGATCACTGCTGCCAGCTTACGCCCAACAGTGGAGTGACAAGCCATCAAGCCATATCTCTCCAAAGGAGCTTTGAGGTTCCTGCCTCAGGCCACCCTCCCTCTCAGCTGATGAGCTCCAGGGTCCTCCAGCCATGCCTGTGTCTCTTACCACAAACCCTCCCCTGGCTCCTGGCTTCGAGAAACAGAGGGGGAGGCAGCAACACTGAAAGCTGAGCTAAAACAACGGAGCGGTGAGAACGATGGTCTGAAAAATGAAAACCTGACGGGATATAAGCTGGATTGCCTTTATGACGGTGGTGGGGGCTCATGCCCAGTTTAAAAACACAGGTTGAATTTCGCACCCTGTACGTTTGCTTTTTAAAAATATATAAGATATTGCAGGTAGATTTTTATCAAACCTAAAATAAGTGAAGTGCACTTTGAACTAAGTTATTTAAAGAGTGATTAGATTTATTTTAAGCAGCTTGCTGATGGCAATAAATAATGGCATGCCATCTACAAAAATGCACGTGCACCTTCATCTTTTTTGGAGGTTTTGCTTTTGCAATTTTTTGGTGCTTGCAAACTCTGCAGATAAAATCAGTTTATCTAAATAACAGTAAACTTATTGCTGGTAGCCTTTTGATTATTTCATTGCTCCTTAGGAGGGATTTTTTTTGTTTATCATAATAGGACACAAAGGCAGAGTTACATTAGTGCTGCTTTGGAGAGCAAACTACAAAGTCGAGCAATGCATGTTAGTTCCAGGCTCTGCTGTTCTGTGCATGTGTACATACACTTTATTTTCTGCCCAGGAAGTAGTCGCATTAAAAGTTAATACAATTGATTTTATATTTTCAGTTCTGCAGCTTTTTTTTCTTTGCTTTTCTGTTGTGTTTTTGCTGAAGTATGGATAAAGCTGTTGTCCCATTTTTAAAATACATAATTTCTTAAGAGGGGATTTATATGCTCTCATTTGTAGATAGGCCAAGCTGATTTATTATGTAAATGTAACTATTTACTTTGCATTATCTTGATTACAAAGAGGAGGGTTTTTTTTCAGTGCAGAATGATGCGCATTAAGAGAGATGGGAGGAGGCAGGTAATAGATGCAATCGCTCGCTGGTTTCAGGCGGTTTTGCTTAGAGAGTTAATTGAAAAAGTGCAGTCCAGTACTCACATATTTCATCTGGAGATACAATAGCTTATTTTTGCTTTGCCCTCCTTGTGGGCTCCCAGAGGGTGGGAGGGTACTTTGCAGCTGGCTCTGCAATATGCAAGTTTTGTCATCAGCAAAAGAATCTCTGCAGCCCAGATTTTTGCTTAGATGAGCCCTAGTAGGCACTGTCTCTCAACCCTTAGCTGAAAGCCTAAATAAGACAACCAGCCTCAAGTCCCTTAAGGCCAAGGGACCTCTCCAGGTTCCTGATTGAATTCGAGAATAATTTAGGTCAGAAGGGGACCGCTGGCAGTCCCTCCCTGGCTCAAAGCAGGGCCACCTTAGACATTGGATCAGGCTGCTCATGTCCAGCTGAACCTTAAACTTGATGGATTGTCCCTGTTAATCATGCTCTCCAACTCATTAAGTTACACATTTAGTTGTGAAATATATGAAGCCTTGTGTTTTCCAGTGCTTCAAACTATTCTGTGCTGCTCTGGGGATGCCATGCTAACTTTGCTGCAAAAGTCTGGGTTGTGGTCTAATGGATCATTAGAAAGTCACAAAGTGTTTGGAGTTAAATAACAAACTTGAATCAATTGGTTTAGTTCTTGACAACCCCCAATTCCTTCTAATTCTTGACTCTCCTTTTCAGCTTAGCAAATGAGAAGTGAAAAAACAGCCCGTCAAAGAAGAGTTTTGTTGTAAGCTACTTTTTAATCTCAGCATTACTTGACATTCAGTCAGCATGATGATTGCATTTTCCTTCTCAAAATGCCAACAGACAAAATAAGCCTAGCAGGAGACTTCAGAAGAAAATAAGGAAACGTCTGAAGAAAATGACAGAAAATAATGATGAGGTAAAACTAATAAATTGATTTGAGCAGTGACAAGGCTTGCTAAGGAAAACTTCCCCCTCAGGGTTGTAAAGATAAAAGAGCACCTAAAAATACACCACAACTTTTCTGTTTTACAGAAATAGAGTGGATATCTTGATTACGAAATGCTGAGACTGAAGCTCACTCTCTCACTGCACAATTAATTAGCACAAGCTGCAGCCAAAATGCCCTTCTGTGCAAGTACGCGCTCCCAGCCGAGTCCAAAGCTCGGTCCCTCTGACCCCGTATTTTGTCTTTGGCCTTTTTATTCAGAAGGTGCCAATTACTGAAAGGTCTGGCGGTGGTTTTGCTGAGAAGCACATCTACCCACCAACAACTGAACTTGGCTCTCCAGAGCAAATCCAGGCGAGGTGTCCAAGTCAGAGCCGAGAGCCAGGGCTCCCCTATGCCCTCCCTCAGCATTGCTGCCTCTCGGGACCCACGCTTGGACCCAGTTTGCTGCTAAGCTGACAATTTGGTCTCGTTTCATGATGCTGTCAGGCTGCCATTGAATACAGTTGTGTTGCAGGGCACAGAAGAAATCTGGATCTTCTCTTCCCGCCAGGGCTCTGCCATGACCCCCACAGCCTCTGCAGGAGCCTGCTCCCTTCAAAAAACGCAATACTCTGCATTTGAGCAAACATGAACAAGGTAAGGTAATCCTAACAATTTATGTTTAAGTTGGTATTTGGGAAATGCCAGTTTGATACCAAATTTGTGATAATTTTGTCTTTTATTTACGTAATGCTAATGTGACAGTTCACCAAGGCAGTCCTGCCAGTTACTCAGAAACAGCCAGCTATCTAGTGACTCCTCTTTGCATGCTATAAAACCTGCATGCTGCTTTATTTCTGCTTGAATACTCTTCTAAGACGTTCATATTCCTCCCTCTGATGGCTCCTCCAAAATACTTCAGAGCAGTGTCTCACAATGTCTGTTTTTCGCTCCTCACCCTCCCGCCCCCCTTCAGGGCAGCCCAAGTGGACATGGCAGCAGCCACAGCTCTGGTGCTTTCTGCCCTCAGTTTCACCCATCTCCAGGCCATGCTGCTGTCTTGAGGCTGGATATGCAATACCTACAAGCTTTTCAACATTTCCCCTTTCTCCCTCAATTCACCTTACTGTCCTAAATCATGCTTTAGCTCGAAGGTCTGCCGAAAGGGTGTTTTATTTACTCTTTTACGTAGCTTTAAGTTGCAATTTTTAACAAATGGTTTATTATTAGTCCCACATTAAGATCATGCTTAGGCTTGACTCCTTGTTCCAATGAACTACACGCATGCTGAAACAGAAACGTCTGCACAACGCTCCCCCACATGCGTGTCCACACACCTACGCGTGGCTTTCTGACACACGAACGGCTACTGCAACCCCACTCAGGTAACACCCAGCTGCACTCAGAGCCCTGTGCTCGCCGTGCCACAGCCACAACACCTCAGTGAGAGACAGGGCTGACCCTGCCGCCTCACCATCCCCTGCCCCGTCCCACACGCTGCCAGGGATGCCGGCGGCGGGACCGGGATGCTGGAGCCACAGGATGCCCCGTCCCCGTTGCCACCTTGCAGCCCAACGCACAACTATGCCCGGCCACTCCGGGCACCCGGGCCTGAAAGCATCCTTTCTCCCTTCTTTTTTAAGCACGAGGCGCCATCCCACAAAAGAAGGCGCTCTGGCCTTCAAAAGGTTTCTGTTCGCACGTCGTGGCCTGCCCTGAATCGGCCGCATTCATCCGCTCGCCCTCCCTCTCTGGCTGCAGCTCCGGCAAAACACCCAGCAAGAGCCAGATATAAATCTCTCCCGCTCGAAGGAAATATTTAGCAGCAAAATGAGTATAAAACAAAAGACTTCTCTGTTTGTTACTCACCCAATCCTCTCGCCCGGGGCGGCTCTATCTACCAAGGGGGCAACCGAGTGCTCCTGCCTGGGATGGCTGCGCGGGGGGCATGGGGAGCGGGGCTGCCCCACGCCTGGGAACCCACTGCTGTGCCCGAATGGCATGGGGCACTGGCTGGGACACGCAGAGCCTTTCCACCAGGTCCACTGCTTGGTAAGAGTGAGAGGGAGGCTCAGGGCAGGCAGGGGCAAAAAACCCACCCAATGCTTCCTCTTAATTCTGCAAAAGGAAAACTCAAGACAAGTTATCACAATTTTAAGTACAATTAAAAGCCAAGGAACATCTGTGATTAATCAACTGCTTACTGGTGTTTTCTGCTCCTATTTCCCAAGGTGTGAGCCATTCTGAAATTTAAGATGTAGAATGCAGCTCAACTTTGTTCCTCTTTTTGTTGTGACTTCAATTGTCCAATGCAGTAATTCTCAAGAACGTCTGGGAAGTCCCCACACGAATTCATCGTGCTGACTGTGCTCGGGCTCTCCAGAGCAGAAACCCAACAGGTTTCTCTTGGAAAACACTTATCAGAGAGATAGACAGCAACTTCCTCAGCAGTAACACCAGAGAGACAGCTAAGTCATTTTAAGGGAAGTCAGGAAAGTCACTTTGGGAAGGAAGAGGTGCAGCACTGAGCGTGCGCACCAGCATCTGCCCGACAGAGATACTGGGACCAGTAACGGCCTAACTGGGGCCCCAGACCAGGAGGACAGCTGTCTGCTCGCAGCCTGTAGCCCACCCGGCCGGCTCCCTCACCAGCCCAACTGAACTTGTTGCCAACCAGGAGCCGCAGCAGGGAGGTTTTGGACCCAGAGATTGTGGGGGACAGAGCGCTCCTTGGGCACACGTCTCCCTGCTCCGCAGCCGGCCCGGCACGAGGGGCTGGTTTGGAACCCCTCCTTGCAGAAATGTTCATCCAGCAGAGCAAGGTAAAGAAATACGTGTCCCACAGGAAGCAGAAAGAGATGCAATGCACGGGCCCAGAGGTCACCGAGTTCTCGCCCAAGCCCCACTGCTCCCGCGCTCACTCCTTGCGAAGTAAAGGACTAGTAAGTCTTATACACACAACTGAGAATTTATCTTTCACAATACTTTTAGTTTAGTTCTGTACGATCAATAATTCAGTTTTTGATATTTGTTCATCTTCTATCTAAAGCAAAAGCTTCAATGTTTCCTTTAATTTGTTGTCAAATTTTTACTTTTTTGGTGCAACTATTACCTTGAAACCTACATCAGTAATACTCAAAATTCTTAAAAAAAAATGCTGGTAGAATTTTAGTCATGTACCAAAAGAAGTATTACACAAAAATATTTTCTTGCTTTGTCTCTACAGTTCCTGAAAAACTGCGTCTTGTGGACTTGGATACAAATGTACTGGAGAAGCCAAAACTACATGAATAGAGAAGACCTCAAATGGCCACCGTGATCCGTAACAGCCTATATACATGTTATATACATAAGACTGTTTGAGAGACTGTATTCACGAATATCTACAGTCTACATACTGCACAAAGTTCATCTGTTTGAGGTTTGGATTTTTTTAAATTTTTCTTTTAAACTACTGTCAGAAACAAGGAGAACAACCTTGTGGTGGCACAGCAAAGGTGTGGTGACTGGAATTAGTCTTACCTTCCTGGTGCCACTGCTCATTAGCCATGAACTGATTTTGCAAATCTGTTGTTCAACATGATAATTTCTACATTTTTTTTCTTATTGCATTTGTACATGTGACAAATTGGTACAAATGTTTACAAGAGAATGTAAAGTTCATTGATACAATGCCTTTCATGACGGCCGTAACTGGTTACTAGCCAACTCCGTAGTTTTTTAGAGACATTTTTAGCTGAACTTGGAAAAATAGGAAATGTTGCTTAAAATAAATGTACATAATATACAATATATATATTTATACACATGTGTATGTCTACATACACATATATTGATATAACATTTAAAGTAATGTTTAGTTTTGATCAGTTCTCTGAGTGCTGGGACTACCTGGCAAATAAATCTAGAAATGGAATATGTCCACAATTAAATAATAATAATTTCCACAACTTAGAAAAATATACTTTTACTAAATAAGGCTTAAATTAACTGATCTACGGATATAGCATGGAGGATAACTGTTTCCAGACTCTGGAATGAATAAATCTGAAAGAACCCAAGCTATGACAAACCGGTACAGAGCGCTGCCCCGCAGCCAGACACAGAAAAGCACAGAAATACAAGTTGCTGCTGCTGCAGCCATCACCGATGGCGGCCAAACCCCCTCTGGTTCGGTCACCTCTTGTATTGGTCCTGATACAAATCACCCACCCGACCTCACGCTCTGTTCCCTACGGCCCAGCCCAGCCCCGCAGCGCCTGCCGCCTTCCCAAAGCACAGCAGCTCCCCACTGCCACCCAACTCTCGCCTTCAGAGCCAACATATGATCAAGGTCCCTAATTAACAGCTTGGAGGACCATCAGTACTTGAGCTTCACCATATGGATTTTGATCTACTGCATAGGTAAATACGGTATAGCAAAACATACGTGTGTGTGTGTGTGTATGTATGTATATATACATACACATACAAGTGTGTGTGAATATGTGTACACCTCTACATAAAGAATTTCACGGAGCTCTGTGAAGTAATGCGATATACCATGGTATCCTGCATACATTATCTGATTTTTTAAAAAAATATATAGGCACCAGAAATAAGTATATAGAGCAACCTTTAAAAATTGAAGTCAATCAGTGGACAAGAACTTTGGTAAAGCTTGTCAATATTTATTTTTTTTAAATTCAAATACAGTCAAAGTCTATCAGTTGCCATCACCCTCTTCACAAGAGGAAAGTGCATGTTTTTTTTTTTTCTAAAGAAAATTATAGGTAAGGTGGGGCATAATGATTCAAGAAAACTCTGAATTAAATGTTTACATTTTTCAAAAGATTACTATCTTTCTGATGGAATGAAAGCTAAATAGAGTTCTTGTCCCGTGTGTATTTTATTTCTCATATGCATATATATATATAAATATATATATGTATGTATGTCTCTGTTTATGTACCTGTGTGTGTATATACACATCCACACACTTTTAACATGAGAGAGGAACCTGTTTTTCTCCACTTCGCATGTGGAGACTTACACATTCCTCCCTGTCTTGTACCCTGTGCAGTATAAGCTCTAGTGATGAGGCCAAACAAAAAGATATAGTTCACCATAGTATATTAGTTTATGTAGCAAAGTCATTTTCAAGCAAGTAAAATAAAGCTCTGTATTCCAAACTTCTTTTCCTTTACATTTCTCATAAAGAAAAGGAAGGAAAAGGAAAGAAGGGAGGGAGTAGGATTATGGCAGTAGCATTGAGCCAGTGGCACGCGTGCGTGTGTGTGTGCGTGCAAGCGTGCACACGCACACACACACACAAGTGCACAGAGAGCAGGGCTTTGGTTGACAAATGCAGATTGTCAAGAGAAAGTGGATGCATAAGTAAGGAAGACTCTACAGTGATGCAATTGTATCTTTTGTGTTTGTATGGAGTGAGAAAACAAATTCAATTGGGAACAAAACAAAAAAACAAAGCAAAGACCTCTTTTTAGGTCCCTCATCAGTGAGAGCATACTCAGTATGCTAGAGAATTTATCTGAAACCTTTTAAATCAAGGCCTCTTTATTACAAAAATAAAAACGAACAAACAAAAAAGTATGAGAGACGACAAGATGCTGAAGTGTCACTCCAATCGTCCCTGCAGAGAACAATTGCATCCCATTTATTATTCATTCTCTTCTCTCATTTCTACGATGTCTGTCATTTCCTCTGTGTGAGGCATGTCGGTCATTGCAGAGTCTTCACCTTCTGTAGCTGCTTCATTCTCATTCCGCTTCTTTTTCTAGATTGAAACAAGCATTCAGAAACCTATCAGTAAGCCGTGCATGAACACAGTCCTACAAACTTTGGGCACTGAAAGAAGTGAGGTGCAAAAAATGAGGGGGTTTTCAGCATGTTATTAAGAGCTGGAATATTTGTGTCATATTCATGGCTCATCAGTAATAAGTTGTCTTAACTTAGAAGGTTTCCATAACCTTTGAGGGGCTCAGCTTTCTCCTTTCTAACATAAATGCAATAATAGAGGCATTTCTTATGCTAAGCAACATCCAAAACAGGCTTCAGCATGCCTGGAGGGAAGAGAGCATCTGGAACCTTTTACATCACAGACTTTTTTATTAAAAAAAAAAAAGACACAGAAAAGCAAACAAAATATGAGAGAAGATAAGCTGCTCTAGGGGGAGAGAGAGAGGTGGCAATCCAATTTTTCAAATGTCAAACTTCAGGAATTTTACAAGATGTATTACGGCTTTTCTTGGTAATGCTGATCCACTGTGATCCCCCACCCCACCAGGGCCAAGTTATATTAGAGTATTTTTGGCTAGCAGGAGCAAAAGGGCATTCAAGAGTCCTATGATTCATCCAGGATGTCCTGGATTAGTAAAGCTAAGAAGCATTCAGCCTCACTACAAAACAAGTAGAAGCATCTGTTCCTTATTATCCATTTCTCAGCAGGCTGACTAGTTTTACAGAAAACCCTTGTACAGCTGACAAAAAATCCCCCACAGGTATTATTGATTCAGCTGAGTTGGGCATATCAGAGTTTCAAAACTTCAGAGGTGTCTACACGGCGCTTGATTTGCAGCTCTCAAACAGTGCCTGCTTATTACTACTGTAGGTGAAAACAAGTTGGTGTACACAGCTACCGGCTGGCTCCACCACCGTCACACTGGTTGTTGAGATGATGCTGTCAGCTACATACTAATTCTTGTAAGGGAATAAATTATGTGGGCACCGTTATTGCTACTACCACCTGCACTCGTCACTGCAGAAAATGAAGAACCATGTCTCTGGCCAGAAAAGCTCTGTGAGCTACTACTGTAACAAAGAAGCAATGAGGAGGTTCATTCAAACAGATGCGTGTTGTGAAACCACAGGCCAAGAACAGCCATTTCAGAATCTACAGGTTTCACTCACTGGTGATCAAGAAAAAGATGACAGACTAATCGTGACGAAAATCAAGGTCTTCTGTTTTCTTATGAACCTTGTGCACTTTGGTCTATTGCTGTAGCCTGCACCCTTAATACATATCCAAACTGGTTTTAGTTTGTTCCAACACACGGCCTTTAGATATTCCATCTTCCATATTTTTTGCTGAAGACAGAAATGGTGGGCATCTTCGCTTGACCTTTAGTAAGAAATCTAATTATGTAAAAAGAGAAGCAAATGCATATTTTCTGTATTTGAGTCCCATGGCCTGAATGCCCACTAGCAGCTGGAGGGCACTTTTTGGTTTTATTTCAGCCCTAAGAATTCCCATGTTACACACTCTCAAGACCTCATGGGGAAGCAAACCAAATTCAGTGAGTGGGGATGCTGAGGGGTTACATTTCAAAAGTATACTCTCAATCTGAACTAAAATCTGCTATATTCATCAACTGCTTTCACCAGATCCTGCAGAGCCTAATTCTTACCTGTTTCCGATAGACGTAACAGGCAGCTATTGCAACCATGGTGGATTCTCCTACAAAACCAGCTAGAAGGGATCCTACTCCAAGAGTGGCTCCATGAACTCTGTGGGCGGCATAAAAAGAGAGTAGTCATGATTGTGTGAGCATGCATGATTCATAATCATATTTCCATGGCATATAGAATCAATCTGTTGTTAGAAATATTTCCTTCAAAGACATAATACACTGGCAAAGAGAATAGCTGGCATTTTAATGGACTTTGTTTTTTTGTTTCTTAATGGCTTCACTCTTTAGTAAAAGAAACACATTCTGAATTAAACTATGGGCTAAGGATTAAAAGTCTTGTACAGAGTGCTGTAGAATAGATTATTTAGCTTATAAACAAGATACTCTTCCATTAGCTTTCTTAACAGTGCATTTAGTAGAATGGAAATAAATTCCCCTTAGGACACATTTTCGCCTCTGGCATTTGTGTTATTTTTAAAAAAGGGTTATCATTATTATGCTTGCCTAGAGCAAAGTCACACTTGCAAATTTGTAGATGTTTCTTTTCCAGATATTGACACTATTAAGGCTTTATATTACAGTTAGTATTTGAGGAAAATGTTCTGAGATATGCAAATTCAGTTATGAAGTGAGAGGAAACAGGAATGAGGAGGAAAACAAGCCCATTAGCTCTGTGGAGAGGAGAATGATTTACCCCAAGTAAGGCAGCACAATGAGACTAGTGATGAGGACGATAATCCGCAGCACCGAGCTGGGTGCCAACACAAATGTCTTCTTTAGAGTCATCAGCCAACCAGTCAAGTGCGCTCTGACAGTCACTGTTCACAAACAGGGGAAGGGGAGAAAGGGAGGCAACAGTAGTAAAAAAATATCAGTCATCTCATAAGAAGCTTTTTGCTGGAGAGAGCACTGTTCAGAAATAACCATGGCAAAACTTGTTTCTGGTAACTTTGCACACTGGGATACCCTACTGGAAATGAAGCAGATCTTGTGTGCAAATTGCTTTAATATAATGTGTTTGGGGAAAAAAACCAACCAAGCCAGTTATGGAGTTATGGAGAGCAATCCTTCCTAAGAGCTGTTCTCTTACAACCAATTTATTAGACAGTACAGTCTACTTTCTTCATGAAAAAACCCTATCCTCTTCCCTAAAGAGAAATCATACCAAGGAAAATTTTCTGTCTAGCTGCTGTGTGGCATATGGTGTAACAGCTAGGCACAAAAAAAACATTGTATCTACACGTACCTATTCTTATATTTGGATTTTATCTTTATTACAGAACTGTCTTGTCGTATGAGCAGAAAACACTACATGATGTAGCATTTGACTACTGAAATTAGAAATTTTATGAGGGGAAACAAATGATTATTGCTGTCAAGCTCGACTCTCTCTCGAATAGGGGCATTAACTTTCAGTCTGTATTGTTTATGCTCTGATGATATCTGAAAGTGCCACTGAGCCTGGCAGCAGAAGGAGAGACTAATGGAGGTGATGTTACTGTGGAGCTGGTCCGAGAAGCTATTCCAAACAGTTTATTTCAGTCTTGGCACGCGTGTATCGCTACTGCCGTTCATGTGTGTGTTCTTGGTCAGCTACAATAGACAGCAACCTGCCTAATGACAGACCGCTCTTACTGCAGCCTTTGTATCTTGACTTCTGATGTAAATAGTCTTGGTCTACAACAGCTTCAATAAAAACCATATTACTTATGCTAGGCATGCACGCACTCTCGTATATACAGCCATGGCAGGCTCCACATCATAGAGCCCGATAGTGGTTTGGTTTTAAGGTTACAGATCATTGTTTTCTTATTTTTTTTTACCTGGAACTGGAAAGAAGGAGAAGATGCGCAAAGGAACAACACACAGCTCTGCAAAAGCGAAGTCTACTCCGATTATGTCGACTAAAATCTTCTCTGACACGTTTGGCGTCCAAAACATCACAAAACAGAGCTAGAAAGAACAAAATTAAGACATGTTTATATTTCAGAAAGGAAGCACAGTGAAAGATAGAACCTCCTGGTCTAAAAAATTTGTGTAGTGATGGGTATTTTGGTTATTAAATGAAGAAAGAAGACGGATACAAAAGTAACAAAAATTATTTTGCTTTTCTACAGTGTTCAGGGATCTGTAGCATGCAATGATTAAGGTTTTAATCATCACAAAGACAGATGCATTTTATTATTAACTTTAATAACTTTATTTGACCGTTCTCCTGTGTTTCTGCCTCTTTGCACATAGGCTGAGGAAAGAAAATAACAGAACTTACATGTTAAGCAATAGTCCTGACTCAAAAGTGTATGAAGCTATCATAAGTAAAAATAGCATGCATGGAAATCTAACAGAATATTTTCTGTACTTGGATTCTGCCAGTTCAAATGTTACGGTTCAGCCTGACTGAAACCAAGAAGAAATTGGAGAGAAGATTTTAAAAGATTCTTTAGAGAGCCACCTCAACGATCAACAATTCTTGACTTAAACTTCAGTTGAGGATGCTGGACACCCCAAAAGTCACAACAAACTTCTCAATAAGAAGGGGAAAACAGATAAAAATTGGAAAAGAAACAACCATCAGCAAAATTCATAAACATGGTCAGAATGATTTTTCTGTACTTTGAGAAATGTATTTAAAGCAATGTTTTTGCAGCAGTTGAAAGACATTTTCAAATACTTAAATGCAGTAAGACTCTAGTGTACACACAGTATATTTATACTCAGCTTGCATTCAAATACACAGAGCACACAAGTGCGCATAAGAGAAGCATGTTGACTTAAGAAGCAATTCCTACTCTTCAGGCTCCTCACATACCAAGACTGATACATACAGAAAGAATTTTTATGGTGCCTGCAAATGGTGGTACTTGAAAGGTCTGGTTGTGACGAAAACAGTAAGACACTTGACTTTTACAGTATTTGCTCTGCTAAGACACCCATATTCCTAGGAAGATTATCAAATGTTACAGTAACTAAAGATCTGAAGTAGTCCAGGACCCAGAAATCTGACCTAAGTCTAAACTTAAGGGTTTAAACTTGCTGCTGATACTAATACTGTTAGTATGTAATAAGCCTGATACCAAGGCAAAGGTGTTCAGCATAGTCCTGCCCTCAGGTCACAAATCTGCCAGGTCTTGTTATTTTAAAGAGTGTGCTGTTTAGTCCATAGATGAATGGAAAACTTCCATAAAAAGCCCACAACAGACGGTACAGAGGTAACACATGTTGTTTAATTTTTGGTCCGTCCTGAAGCAGGGCTTCAGAACGGGCTGTGGGGGCTCTTAGCATCTGGTGGGTCCAGATTTGGTTGAAGGCACTCATTGACGAACAGAGGTGACAGCACTTACAGGAAATTTTCTGTAAGAATGGGTACCTGACATCCTTTCAAGTATAGCTACTTTGTTATTCAATTTGATTTTACCGTTAAAAAAGTGATTTCTTCCCATTATTCTTGCAGTAAAGCAGATGTTAAGGAAGTAAGCTGACTGAGCTTGGAACCTTAAATGCTCTGGCATGTAACCCTGTCAGGTTACAAACCAGTGTCCCAGGTAAATTATGCACACTGGCTGTAAAATCTGATGGCTCTGTAAGACTCTAAAACCACTCTCTTATAATTTAGCCTACAAGCCATCTAGCTCTTCTCTTACTATCCAATTGTCACATCCCTACATGTTCAGAAGGCTTTTAAAGTTAGTCTTTGAAGTCCTACCACCTCCAAGGCAGCTGGGATTTCACTCTCATTCTTTGGTTGTGCACCAGAGATTGTCCTTTCTGTTTTAGCCTGCGAGTACTCAGACCACAGAAGTTTCCCAAAGCCTGTGTCCGAAAGGCCCATGAGAGGTCTCGTGTTCTGAGACACACATTCCCTGTGGTCAACAAAACATTTCACCATCCTGCAAAAACACTCATCCTCAGTTTTTTTCCCCACTTCTTCTGGTAGGACCCACTATTTATTTTTCACAATTGAATGCCTTACTTGACTAATTTGGTGCTGTATTTTGCAGTGTATATCCATCACCTACACAGAGATTAGTAAGTGGAGGAATCACAGAATCACAGAATCTTCTAGGTTGGAAGGGACCTTAAAGATCATCTTGTCCAACCGTCAACCTAACTGACAAAAATAGACACCCACACAACAAACAAGGAGCATCATCACTAAACCATACCTCCCAGCACTACATCAACCTGTCTTTTGAACACCTCCAGGGATGGTGCCTCAACCACCTCCCTGGGCAGCCCATTCCAATGCCTGATAACCCTTTCGGTGAAAAAATTTTTCCTAATATCCAGCCTGAAAGGTAAGAAGGTAAGAGCAGAAGACAAATAAACTGAGCATGGAGTTTTTTCCACTTTAGCCAGCACTTCTCTCTCTCTGCCAAACCACTCATACAGGATACAACTGAACCGAGGGGACAGTCCAGAGTAGAGAAGGTTGTGTGGTTGAGAATCCAATTATTAAAAAGTAACTGTACAGCGACAGAGCAAATTCTTTCATTGTTGCAGACATCATTAGGCAGATTGCAATGACTTTTACTTCAAATTACCTGTTAGGCATATTTTGCCAAATCTTTCTTCAAAGTCCAATAAACAAGATGCGAAGATGTCCACTCTTCAATTATAATTTGCTGTTTTCATGAAAGCAAAGACCTTTACGCCGCTTGTACTGCACAATGCCATTAGCATCCCGCTGAGCAGTATAGTTACTGCTGCTGCAAGATTCCATACATTTATGCTAACAGCAGGCTGCCCACTGCTAGCAAAATACAGCAGTCTTTCCTCCTTCAACAGCCACTTGAAAGAGTATTCTAACATGGCTAGAGAGACAGGCAAATAAGTGACCAGAAGCCTTGTTTTCAGTCCCATGCTCTTTGAAGTTAAACTTCATTTCTGGCCATAAGAAGAACAGACTCAATCTCCATCCAGCTCCTACGGGAGGAAGGTCAGTTTGCAAATCAGGGGTAATGACTTACACCCAGGAGGTATGCAGTCATTCCTCCTCAGCTGTTGCAAACTGCAGTGTTCCCTGAGCAGCAGAGAGTCAGTGCTGATAAATGGCTTCAAAGAGCACTTCTTACATAGCAGCTGGTGGGTACAGACAGCAGTGATTGCTAAGCTCAAGAATAAGCAGTTTGAGGAGGTGAGGTGTGGCAGCAGCAGGGCCTTCTATTTCTGTCTCAGCGTGTTGCCCGTCTTGTGGTTGCAATATTGATAACCAGTTTCACTTTGCAAAGAGATTTCTCTCCGTCATTTTACCAGCAGACAATATTCTCATGGCCCACAGGGGAAAAAACTGCAGGAAAAGAAATTAACGCTTCACATTGTGTAAGCCCTCTGCAATTCAACTTCTAGAGCACTTGCAACTTGGGAAGTTTATATGTTATTCCAAAGACAAGTTCAAAATGTAGTAGAAAAAAAAAAACAGGCTCTACTTTAGGAAAAAAGTAACACCAATCTTGCAAAGGCAGGAAGGTATCTCTGCTACCCATTCCATTACAGATGAGATATACTGAAAACAGGATGAAGTCTTAGCTTTTTTGTGAGGCTGAGTTGTCTGCACCATGTTTGCAATTACCTTGGTAAAGGGTGAGGACTGATCAGAAAGCAGGCTGGAGAAGACAGTAACAGATTAAATGACACTAGTCCAGTGAAACAGGGAGCGTGGCACACACAGTTAGAGAGGAGATCTACTCAGAAAGATTTTAAGAAATAGATCTACCTATATTATGTCTTCTTTCTTTCTTTTCAGTTAAAAGAAAGTTTGTTTCCCCCTCCCCCTTACGCCTTTCTGCATGTGTCTGCAAGGTTAAAAATAGAATAAATAGGCTTGGGTAGGGTTACAGTTATACTCTCATTTAATCTAATCAAGAGGTGAAGATGAAGCAGTAAAAGCTTCCGCACAGGCTAGCAACACGCACCTATAATGGCACTGCAGCCTCAGGTTGCAATTGCAGTTGGCTGCAATGTCTATACACAGTAATGAATATTGCACTTGGCAGCTCTGCTGAGGCTGAAGCATTTTAACGCTTTGAGAGTAAGGATTTTTTTATGCCTGGGGAATAAGGATTTTGCTTGTGGAATTCTAGCAACATAGTTGATTTGACTTTTCTGTTATGGTATGAGTGCAGCATAATATTAAAGGATAGTTTTGTTAAAGTCTTTGATCATTTAAACGGAACTTCAACTGAGCAGTGACAAGCTATTTAAAAATACAGGATAACTGAAGATCTAAACAGGAGAGTGGAACACTACAGAGGATCTGCAGGCCTGAGTAGACAGCGGTATTTATTATGGTGGTGTTATCTCTGTATAAGGAACACCAGCCTAAGCATTTTAATCATTTGAACTGGTAACTGGGTAACATGTCTTTAACTGATCTACAGTAGTCAAATTTGAAGGGCTTTATTAAATATGTCAGTAACTTACAGCAGCATAAGAAAATGAGATCAGACCAAAGCTCCAGCTAGATTAGTACCATCTCCCTGATAAAGGTCACTGGGGGTTTGTCTAAGGAAAGGGCACAAAGAGCAGGCAAGTGCCCAGTAAGAGATGCCCTTCTCTGACTGTGTGGTCTGGGCTGCTGGCAGATACAGCTTCAAGGAGTTCAAGAACTGTGGTGCACCTTCATCCCACGCAGCTTTATGTTCTGCATACAAAATATCTAATATTAATGATTTTTTTTTTTTTTTTGCAATCCAGTTGTGCATTAAAAAAGTAAAAAACCCTCTCTCACTTGTGGCTTAGACACTCTGTAAGCAGGTATGCTTACTTTCATGTGGAACCTTACTATTTTCAGCCAGCAAATTCAATGTTTAGGCGTATGAAAAGGTTACACACCAAAAACTGCTGCTGCTGACAAGCCTGAGAGAATGGCAGGGAAAGTACCAAACTGCTAGTGCTTAGTAGAAGTTTTCTTTAATGTCTTCGCTTAAGCACACTTCATGCATTTGACTTTCACA